CGGATCAGACATAACTTAAACAACGAAAATTTTTCTCATAAAATATAGCTGTAAATTACATTAACTATATTTTATTTTTGTGAAAAGTAAGTTATCAAATCTAAAGATAATTTGCTGCAATATTCCTTCAAATGTTAACATAGTTTTCATCATAAAAAGCACCAAAGACTTTAAGTAAAAATTAAATTAAGATAAACAGACTCAATAACTCTTTACCCTAAAATATCCTTATTAAAATCTTTTATTACTTTGTATTTACTAGTAAAAGAGCAAAATAAACACTAATTAATTTCTTCTATTTTAAAAAATTCCATTTCAAGTGAAAAAAGTGATATTGTTAGCACCATAAAAGTTGTTATTTACTTTGGTATAAATTTAACAGAGGTGTGAAGGTGTGAAAGGCAACAAAAGACTGTTGTGTTTTAAATGAAAGATGTTTGCATTGTATTTATACAGTTGATTGGTTACTAAACAATTAGATATGACATGAATATATGTTGTAAATATTGTTTGTAACAAGAAAAATATTACATACATTCGTATGTAATATAGGTACGATTGCATACTTCTTTTGTGAAGACTTAAGGTTTGCTGCATGAAAGGTGTAATGTAAAATGAACAGGTCATGAGATATAGCAACGGACCTATTCCTGTTTTTTTTGTGTGTGTAATGTGTATTTTATAACACTTGCAACAATCAATACCAAATGGTTCTATTGCATTTCTATAGTGCTAACAGGTTATAATACTGTTTAGAGATACCATAATATAATAAAAAGTGGAGATGAAAGACCAGGGTTTTGAGGGTGAACAGGGGTGAAACATCCAGGAGATGTAAAGTCCAAACACCTAGAAGAACTAAACACAGTGTCCATTTATTATTCATTTATTATTTAATCTTATTCTGACAAACACTTACTGTGACAACAGATAACAGTTTAATACAACAGTAAATTAAATATGACTAAAGTGTAACAACATAAAAGGTAGTTGTACCAAATAAAGGATATCATTACACAAATACAACATAAAGGCAGCTAGCAACCGTTGAATATTTTTTAAAAATTTATATTAAAGTTTTCACATATTACTTTGCAAAATACAGCTAACAAAGCAGCAGAGATAAATTAATTTTCAATAAAATTACAATGTCTATTATTTACTTTTAAAAAATCTTTCATTTAAGATATTACATACAGGTTCTGTACACTTGACTAGTGATAGAAAACCATGTTAATTTTAGCAGAAACTCAGTATTTTTGCCTGTATGTTATTGTTTGATCAAGTGTTAATTTCCATATAATATAATATATATATATATATCTATCTGCTGTATAACTGGTTTACTTAATACCTAAACAATTAGAAACAAGAACTGTAGGTAGGGAAGCAATGCTGGACTATTATTAGTGCTTGACAGTAAAAAGGCCTCGATAATGTAAAATTTTCTTAGTTAACAAGGGAATAATTTTCCTTTAAAACCATGTTACAGTACGCCTTGAAGAGAGTCCTATTATGCTCTCAAAGAAGAGTATAAAATTTCAACTTGTTTCAAAGCTAAATGTCAATAGAATTTGAAAATATCTGAGGTAATATGCAAAGTTAAATGTAAATTCTAAGTCGAAAAAAGGGGCATAATTCTGTCAAAATGCTTAGTACAGTTACCTGCTCCTGTCTACAGGTAAGGGTCATGCTGGTGAATAAGTGCACAAAGTTTCAAAGCCATATGTGAATGGACTTTGAAAATATTTGAGGTATTACAAAAACTTTTAACGTAAATACTAAGTAAAAAAATTATTCTAAAATGCTTGATACAGTCACCTCCTCCTGTCTACAGGTTGGAATCATGATGGCGAACAATTGTGGAAATTTTCAAAGCCATATGGCAATGGACTTTGAAAATATTTGAGGTATATCGTAAAAACTTCGACATAAGTTGTTACGTATACACCGACGTTTGGGTGACTACAAAAGCTCTACTTATTTTAATCGAACAGTCAAGCTAAAATCAATCAGTGTTGCCAAGCAGCCACAATATATTCCATAATTTTGTTTTAAATTTAACAAATTTTAAGTGCACAACTGGCTATTTGAATGAACCAGAACTTCACGAGTCGGATATGTCGCCTTGTGAACAATGTAGTTAAGGAGAAATGGCCAGAACAAGAAAATTAACAAAGGGCAATAACTCAAAAAATAAGAAGTGCAGAGCAGCATTTTCCTTGCACTATACTTCTTATCAATAAGATATATCATCCTATGAAGTTTCAAGTCCATAGCTCTTATAATTTATGAAAAATTAATAAAGGGCAATAACTCAAAAATAAGAAATGCAGATTATTGGTTCTTGTACAATGCACATTTTTTATTGAGATCTATCATCCTATGAAGTTTCATGTCCATAGCTTTTGTACTTTAGGAGTAACTAGAACTATCGCTGAATGCGATTCATACCCCCACCAATGTCCTTGACAGAAGACAACTTGGAAAGGTGGTTAAGGGAATAACTTAAGTGGCACAAATACATAAAAAGAAATTATCTCTGGTGAAAAAAAGACTAATTGTACAGGTAATAGTAAAAATATCTATTATCAAATAGTCGTGTTTCATGTTCGAAACAGTTACAAATAACCTTTCATTTTCCCAATATACTAAACTTTTATAAGTCAATTTTTGACCTTCAAGTGTGGCCTTGACCTTCAGCTGGCACAAGGGTATGATGGGTTCTGCACATCGCCCAATTGGAGAGAACATTTGAGTAAAGTTTGAAGAAAATCCTTCCATTAGTATAGAATTTATAGAGCGGACACAACATATTGTCTAGTATTGATTGTATGTAAATTTAAAGACTTAAAAAGGGGGATAACTTTGTCAAAATGCAATACAGAGTTATGAAACTTGACCTGCATATCGTAATTGTGACACCTCATATATCTTTCATGGGTGCAAGTTAAAAATTTTGTAAAACCTGAACTATTTGTTTGGGGGCCAGGGGGCCGCAAGGGCCCCCGGTGGGTCCAGGGCAACGCCCGGCCAGGGGTCCAGGGGGCCGAAGGCCCCCGGAAGCTCCTGCATTATAGCACATTTGAAAGCCTAAAATGCAATTCCCTTGAATGATAACATGCCAGATAACATACATACTGTAGTATAGTATTTTCACTGAAATATTGCTCACATAATTATTTTCTTTTCTCTCTCTCTTTCTTAATTATATAAACAAAAACATTTCAACACAAAAAGAAATGTGCATTCATATATTGTTTCCACTATTCAATATTGTGGTTCCAACAGTAAAGAGTGATAAAACAAACCAATATATAAATAAATTGAAAATTGAGTTGATTTGTACCGAGTTTAGCATGGGACTCCGTATTATCGGCGTACTCAACTTTTCCTATATGTCTGCATTGAATTTCATTAATGAATTTAATAATCAATATTCTGTGGAAAGCAGCACAAATTCAACTAATCATTACATTTTTTGAATAAGGTCAAAGATTTTTAATTTCAATGTATGCATGACCGCACATGACAAAATACTGAGAGTACGTCGGTAATAGAGTTGCGCCGATAATACAGAGTTTTAATTGGGGCTGAGCTGACCCTGATTCCATACAAACAATAAATTGTTTTCAAAAAAGATAATTAAAACAAGCCTGGTTATGTTTCTCAGTAAGTTTGTTTTTCATATGGTTTGGATCGTCTGCGTGCATTTAATTATTTTTTTCCCGCTGGATCCATACTTGATGGATTTTCTACATACAGTGCAGAAAGCTACGCTGGGAACGTCTGGCTTTTCCAGCCAGTTTCCGTAGTTATCCCCGTTTCGATCACATACAGACAACTATTCCCATCTCCATTTATTTTTTAAGGTCTTCTCGATATCTTTTGTATTAAATCCTTCGTGTAGAAACTTCATTTTGACTAACAAATTGTACATTACTTTCTGTTTACATATTACTCTGTAGCCGAATCGGTAACGAAGCCGCTTTTTCATTGGATGATTATAATTAGCGCGCCAATCTAAATCGTTGTAATAAATTCACGGATAAAATTGCATGCCGGGATTAATAATACATGTTTTCGTAAACATCTCGTATATCTTCGGAAACTATCGGCAGTTTCCGCGAAAGTTTACTATTGACGCTTCGAGAACAACCGTGAGCATCCGTATGTTATATAGCGTTCTCGATTATGAACTTCTAATCGGTGGTACTTCTCAGTTTGAAAGACTAGACCCGCACCATACCCCTCCAAATATCTCCACGGATTTACGCGATTCGCAAAAATGATCCCTCCGGCACGTGAAAAACCGGAACTTCCGGCACAT